GCGGAAATACTGAGGCCCCGAGCTGGCGCTGCCCACACTACACCCGCCCGCCCCGAGGCCCGCCGCTCCGCGTCTCCCACGACCTCCTGCGCCGGGAGCGGATCTGCCCAGACTGCAGTTTGGGTCCGTCGCCCTTTTCTCTGCCTACAGACGGATTATTTTCTTTAAGGGCTCCGAGTCGCTCTCCGGGTGGGGGCGTGGCTAGTTCTGAACCCGTAATGGGTCTACTCCGTCGTTTTTCTGCCTAGTGACAGTGCTCGCTCGGCATTGGGTCTATCCTTGAAAGAGTACATCTAACCTCTCAGGATTGGGTAGTGGCCTCGACTTTAGCCCAGTGACCGAGCAACTCTTTCATTTGATTGGTTCGAATCCAGTAAAGGGCTCGATCAATTTGAGGCGTTGCCGTCCGCCCTCCCTGAATCCTCTTCCTTGATTGGCTACAGCTTCGGGGTGTGGTCAAGCAGACCCTCGCCTTTCCCGAACCTTCCTTCCTGATAGGCTGCTGCCTTTGGGGGGCATGGCCAAGCCCTCCGAATCTGGCTGCGGCCTTCAGTTCGCCGTTTTTTACACTACTGGGGCTGGGCTCGTTTTTTGGCTGAGTCCTGACAGTTGTACCCTTGGCTCCCTCAGGGATGGCTCAGTCCTGTCCCTGCGTCCAACACCCCTTCCTGGTTCCCTCCCACAAGAGCCTGCCAATCGAAGCCCGTTCTTTTATCCAGGACGGTACCAGCTCCCGCCCCTCTCCCCCACCCCCCACAGGTGCCTTAAAGGGCCCTCGTCCACCCAAGGTGGGGGGCAGGGGGCCTCACTCTCCGGCCCTGGTGTGGGGGAGAGAGTGGGAGGATCGGGAGTTAGGAGGGGGGCTCTGAGATTAAAGAGTTTTACCTCTGGTAAATGTGAGTTGTGGGTGTTCATTTTATGAAGCCAAACAGCATATCATCGATTCTCGGTGCAAAGCTGAGAGTTAGAATTATCTCCATTGGTTTGGTTTGGTTTGGTTTTCGTTTTTTGAGACGGGGTCTCGCTGTGTAGTTCAAGCTGGACTCAGCCTCCCGATTACTGGGGTTACAGGCGTGCACCACCACACCTGACTCGTGTCCCCATTCTATAGATAAAATGAAGGGCTCTTGGGGTCGGGGAGAGTACTCTGCTCCTGTGTGACCGTGGAGGCCTAATTTTCAGGGCATTAGTGTTGGAATCGTCCGTGAGGAATCTTCTCTGGAGCCAACGTTCTCCAGCAAAACGTATCCGGAGCAGGTGGGACGTCGCTGAAAATTAGAACGAGACCAAAGTGGAATCGCCGTTGCTCGTCAGCCCATCACCGAGTTGAAACGGGTTTACTGACACCATAACACTTAGACAAGCTAAATTTGCATGTGTTCACTCGGCATCTCCCTGTTAACCCCAAGAAGTGGAAACCGTTACGTCCACTTTATAGATTAGAAAACTGCAGCACCGAGAGTGAGGCAAAAGTGCGACCTAGGTCTAAGGGGCAGGCGGGCTTGGGTTTCCTCAGCTGAGCTCGGTCGTCTAATGAGACCCAAAGCTTCTCCCCAGGGGATGAAAAAGTGGAAAGAACGGAGGATTCACTTCGCCCCCTACTGGCCTGAGCTTCAATGCAGCAAGAAGGATGAAGGCCAGAAACCCTAAGTGCCCAAGGTGGGAAGGCGAGGCGGCTGCTGCGTGGGCGGAACCAACCCACCCCACCCCACCCCACCCCGCTTCCCTCCTTAGAACAAGTCTCTTGGGTCCGCGAGGAGCGGAGGGTCGCAGGCAGAGCGCTCCGGGCAGGACATTCCTAGACAGTGGGAGACTCCCTGGTCTCTTCATGGTCGGATCGGCGGACGCAGCTGAGCTTGTATGAGCTCTGCGCGCGAAGCTCTCCGCCTTGCTCTGGGGAAGTAGGGAACCCCCATTGGCTGAGAGCTGGAGTCGACCTCGTCTCCTGAGAAACAGCACCTCAGGCAGGCTAGGGGGCGGGATATCCGGAGACGTTGGCGGGAGGCAGGACTTCCTGTAACCAGCGAGGGCGCGTTGTGGCTCTGGCTCGCAAACCTACTTCCCCCTATATCCGCACCCTAATTTCCCACCTAGATGGCGGAGGTGAAGGCCCAGGGCCGCCTGTGGCTGGAGAGCCCTCCTGGGGGAGCACCTCCCATCTTCCTTCCCTCGGACGGGCAAATCCTGGTCCTGGGCCGGGGACCCCTGACCCTGGTTACGGACCGGAAGTGCTCCAGGAACCAAGGTGAGTAGCCGCGGGGTCTGCTGCAGGAGCAGTAACGAAGCCCTCGGGAAAGGTGCAGTTATCCAGGAAGGGAATTGCGTGGTGCAGTCACTTCTGACTTTGAGAGGTGGCCTCTGAGTAGGAAGCACAGGAAGAAAGGTTATGCCTCACCTAAAACTAGCCAGGCCCTTTGGGGAATGCAGCCGTTCCTGGGAGAATTGGATGGACAAGCCCAGGATCTGCATCTATCTGCACTTTAACATGTCACCGATTCTGTAGATAACAAGAATTCGCCCCGGGGCTGGGGACGTGGTTTCAACTCGGAGCCCTTCCCTAGCCTACAGGAGGCCTTGGGTTCAACCACTAACCCCCTTGGGTGGGGGTGGGTGGGGTATCCGCCCTGTTCCCTAGGTAGGGATCACTGTCGTCCGAGACCCAGTTCCCGTTTAGAAATACACTGTTTCCTGATTCCTGCCCCCTCTGGAGTAGAATCTGTGGCCCCATTTCGTGCCCTGAAGCTGGCCACAGCCTGCAGTAGTGAGGGAACCAATCGTACATAGATGCAAATCTGACTTCACCCCCTCACTCCTCAGTGGAGCTGGTTGCAGACCCTGAGACACGGACGGTAGCAGTGAAACAGGTATCAGGGCTTCATGGAGGGGCAGCAAGGCCTGGGGGTGGGATGGGGGGAGGAACCACAGCCCAGCAGAGAACATTAGAAATGTCAGATTGGGCTGTGTGCGGTGGCATACAGCGTAGCCTGGAGGCAGAGGCAGGCAGATTCAAGGCCAGCCTGGACAATTTAGCTAGATACTGTGAAAAATTTCTAAAGGTCTGAGGCTGGGCCTGGTGGCACCAGAGGCTGAGGCAGAAGGATTACCATGAATCCGAGGCCAGCCAGGACTACATAGTGAGACCCTGTCTCAAAAAACAAAGCAAAACAAACAAACAAACAAAAAAAAAAAACAGGGGTTGGGGGATCTAGCTCAGTGGTTCCGATGCCCACCTCAAAGGCACAAGATCCCGAGTTCGATCCCTGGTACCAAAAAAGACTTAGGATGTAGCTGAATGGTAGGGTGCTTGCCTATAAGCAAGGTTCTGGGTTCAATCCCCAGCACCTGATTGGCAGGGAGGGAAGAGGTGTGCCCGATAAAGAAGCTCTGCCTACGTCAGTAGCAGTGTCCTCTGTGCCGTTTCACTTGGGCAAGACTGGAAGCCCGTGGCCTTTGCCAATCCCTCTTTGGTGGTGCACAGTACAGAGTGGGGCTTAAGGGTCTGGTGATATATTGAGAAAGGCAAGTCTGGCCCCGGGCATCTGACTGGAGGAGGTTCCTATGAGGGCGGAGCCAGTCCCAGCTCTTCCTTTCTCTGCAGCTGGGCGTTAACCCTTCTACCGCTGGGACCCAGGAGTTGAAGCCCGGTTTGGAGGGCTCTTTGAGGGTGGGAGACACACTGTATTTGGTCAATGGCCTGCACCCACTGACCCTGCGCTGGGAAGAGACCCCCACACCAGGATCCCAGCCAGACATTCCGCCTGGCGCCCCCCTGGTGACTCCAGCCGAGGAGAGGAAGGAGGAGGGTGCTGAGCAGCAGGGAAAGAGGGTGCGGAAGTCATCCCCTGGCTGGGAGAACTTGGAGAAGCTGCTGGTGTTCGGAGCACCTGGGGTGAAGCCCCGAGGCAAGGTGAGGGCCCCACTCGGGCATTTCCAGTCTGACTCCTGGAAAGCAGGCGCCTTAGTCCCCGGCAGACAGTCAGCACCCGAAATGCTTCACGTGTTTTGCTTTCTGTGATTATGAACCTCTAGGGATGGGGTGGGGCAGTGTAAGCTACTCATCCCTATTTAAAGACAGGAAAAGTGAGGCCAAAGAGGCGCAGCTGTGGCAGGAGATAGGGAGGACTTGGGGTCTGAGGTTAGAGGTGTCACGGGCTGTTCGTCCCTGCATCCTTGACCCCAGGTGGCTGCCTTTGACCTGGACGGGACCCTGATCACCACCCGCTCTGGGAAGGTCTTTCCCACGGGCCCCAATGACTGGAGGTGAGGAGGGGCGGGGGCAGGAGTGTGAAAGCCAGAGCTGCCCGCACCCCTGGTCATCCACCCCTCCCACCGCCCTAGGATCTTGTACCCAGAGGTTCCCAGGAGGCTCCAGCAGCTGGACACCGAGGGCTACAAGGTGTGTGTGTGTGTGTGTGTGTGTGTGTGTGTGTGTGTGTGTGTTGTGCACACAGAGGCCAGACTGTGCCAGGGCCCTGCTGACCAGGCCCAGGTGACACCGTGTGCTCCCCAGCTGGTGATCTTCACGAACCAGATGGCTATCGGGCGAGGGAAGCTGCGAGCAGAGGATTTCAAGGCCAAGGTGGAGGCTGTGGTGGAAAAGCTGGGGGTCCCCTTGCAGGTACAGCTGAGGGCGGCTCCCAGGGACTGACGGGGCAAGCGCTCAGAAGGCTGGGACAGTGTGTGACCCGACCCCGTGCACAGGTCCTGGTGTCCACGCACGCGGGCCTGTGCCGGAAGCCGCTGACTGGCATGTGGGAGCATCTGCAGGAGCGGGTGAGCCCCCGTCCCCTCGCCTCCAAGCTTGGTCGCCCCCGTCTACAGCCGGCAGTCCTCGATGTTGGCCTGCGGAGCAGGTGCTCTCAGTCACTGAAATCCGCCGAGGGGAGATCGCTCGCTCGTTCATTCGCTCGCTCGTTCACTGCCTCGCGCGTGTGTTCTGGAGCCCATTAATACCTTGCGGGCGGGCTGGCGCGGGACCCCGGAGGGAGGCCCCGGGGCTCAGGGACCGCCGCGTTCGGGGAGGGGCCGGGTGC